TCCCGGCCACTGCGTTGTCCCCCCTACACGCCCCCGCCATCCGCATGTATACATATGTGTAGGCGGGGCAGCACCGTGTCACGTAAGTGCAAAGTTGAACTCGCGGCGACTCCCACGGAGTCCCTGCTGGCGGAGTGGGTAAGTGATGGAATTAGAACGTATGTAGGTTGACAAGCACTCACCGTACTGTCGATTGCCCAGAGTCAGCCGGAATAAAGTTTACCAAGGGGGCGCTAGCGCGGCGTCGATGTCTGTGAGGCCTAGACTGGAGTCACGGCGGGTGGGTAGTGCCTGGTAAGAATGATGCTGTACGTTACCTTCGCCTTCACGAAGCGGGAATGTATCGGCGTATTGCGGTACGAATTGATGAACTCTCAGCACGGTCGAAGCAATGCCCCCCGCGGCAAAGTGTCGCGGGCACTCGGTTCTTTTGAAGTGATTGCACGTTGTACTAAGTCCTTCTATAGTGAGATGAGTGGTCGCTGTAATGGCGGCACAGATGTACTTCGAGAAATGTCGCTGGCTATAGCATGGCATCCAAGCTCTTGAGCGTGAAGTCCGGCTTGGTCTTCTTGCCAACTCCCGTCTCTTCTCATTCAACCTTGGTGCGTCGCCGGTGCAAGCCCACAGCCTTTCACAGGCGCTCCAGCCTCACAGTCATGCGTGCGCCTAGGCCAGATGTCCGCGTCGCCCCTCGGCCCCCCTCGGATTGCTGTGGCGGTATCCCCGGGATGAAGGTTCTGAAGCCGGGAGGTATCGCTGATTGAAACTTTGCAGGGCGGGAGAGCGCCGAGGATGGTAGGTAGGAGAGTCCGTATCTTGTGCCTCTTCGAGCGACCTGGAGCGGCTTGCCTTCGAGCAAATGCATGTGAGTAGTAATAGGCCTTCGTACCCTCGAGCTTCGAAGCAGTTCGAATGGTCCATCGGTCCGAGGCCCACGCCACAGTGTATGGGGCAGTGCCAACGACTCCCTCGGCGTAATACTTACCAACATCATCATCAGGTTGTATTGAACAGCCTAAGCCTGAGGGAAGCGCCAGACTACACAATCGCCTCTCTGGCTCCCTTGTGCACTAAGCGTCTTTGTGGAGCACTATGCGCAGTTGCAGATCAATGCTTAGAAGTCAGGTATATCAATGGCGCTAGCAAACAGCAGATGGTATCATTGGAGTACTTGGGCTGTCAATAAGAGGCCAGTCTGAATAGAAACGTGATAGGCACTGACCGCTGATGAGCCATTCAGCCAACTCGGCGTCGTCGGTGACGCTGAAGCCGGCGTCGAGGGAGATGGTGGTCCTGGTACATGGACCAGATGCATCCAAACACGGTAGGATGGTGGCTTACCGGCGTTGGCACGTATGTTGGACGTTTGAATGGCATCTGCATCCTGTGATTCCTGTTGACATCATACACCATCCTCAGCGTCCATCTAGTCACCACTGGCACTCAACTCAGAGTATGCACACGTTATCAGTCCGGCGCGCCGCTCTACCTAAGATACCACAGGCCATCGACACACACTACCGCGTTGCCTTACCAAGTCGTCTGGGCATCGACGTCTATCTCTGTTTGCGTTTCGGTCCCCACACCCCTGACACAACCTTCGTATCTCGGTCTCAGAACGCATCACCAGGGGCGCGTCTCCAACGCTCGATAGAGCACCAAAGTTAGAGCTGGTAGCCGGGCATGATCAGAGGGTGATACAGAACGGAACGAGACAACGTAGGCTTCAGCAGCATCTTAGTACACCCGAAGGTCCGACCGAACCGCGTCATGCACATCGTGGCGTCTAGACCTGCCGCTCGGGCACAGAGAGGATCAATGGACTGCTGTTCCCGACGCACAAACGGGTGCGCGAACGCAGCAGCAAAGTAGTCCCAGAACTACAGCTACTAGGCACGGGGCTCTGACTAGGAAGGAAAACACGCATCCGCTCCTAGAAGGACCAATGGCCCAACGCGCGCTGCAATGGAACCTCGAGACGTTGTGTGCTTCTGTGAGCGGCCCGCACTCTTCGCGACGCGGGGATCGAGGCAGAGAAGGATGTGGGTAGGATAGCGACTCTCGTACCGCAAACCGCACGGCTCGCACCGTACATCGGCCGTGGCTTCGCACGGAGAGATGCGGCGCGACGGCGTCCAAGACAGCGGCAGCGCACACGGGCAGCCTGAGGGGAGCGCCGAGTTGGGCGCGCAACCTCAAACTTTGCGGACCAACAAGGACATGGGGTGCTTGGTACTCGGCATTTCCTGAGACAGTTCCCCACAGACGCCGTGCCAGTAGAAGATCGAAGTGTCAGAGCTCCAGGAACCGAAGCGCGCGCCTGTGACCATCTATGTTCTGAAGCTTACTATGCACGATGCAGGGGTTGTCTCCGGATTCGTTGGCTATAAATGCCTGACAAAGCACGAGGCGAATGAGGCAGAGAATTCGCCGCAAACACAGGTCAATGTACGTCTGCCATGCTAACGCTTGGATAAAGTCACGTAACATCTCGTAAGTAACCCAACTTCGAGTTGGACCACAACAAACGACGATGATTTACGTCGGATTTGTGGTAAGCAGAAGATTGGACATGTTCCACACGCGCTGGCGCTTTTGTGCAGCAGTATATAGAGCAAATCACAGCGTCTGCTCAGCGCGCACGGCGCGAAGGTGCTCCGATCATGAAGCAGACGGGCGTCTCGCACGCACTGGTTCCAGGTCCCTGAGAACTGAGGCATGAGGCCCCGCGGACAGGTTCGCGAAGAGAAGTTCCTTCCCAAAGTCTCAATGTGCTCAGGGTCGCTTGCACGGTTACGGCAGGCCGCATCCAGGGCAGCAGCGTCTGGGAGTAGTGGGTTGATGGTGTTCTGTGGATTCGAAGCATACGCTCGGCTTCACACCCCAGCGGCATACAGCCCACGAGAGTCCGGCACTTCGGCGGGCGCTCTGGGCTGAGTGGTCCGGAGCGATGTCGTGTATGGGAGAAAGACGATAGCTTACGAGGCAAGTGGTGGGACGCACCTGGCTTAGTGTAATAGGGCTGAGCAGATGGATTTCCCGAGGTGCGAACCTAGGCGTAATCGTCGGGTCTGGTGCCGCAGTCAGTGAAAAGAAGTGGCTTAGAATATACGATGGTCGAATCGTAGGAATCATCGGCCGGAGCTCGTAGGCATACTTGGACCCTTGCACATATTACAGGAGCGGCGGTGGGACTCCTGCCTGTTTGCTGCGGTGAGAAGCGTGGCCGCAGTAGGTTGATGAACAGAAGGGGGCATGATAAGGTGATGTCACATACTAGCTCGAGTGTTAGTCAGGATTGCCTCTCGCCAACCATTGGCTTCGCTTACCGAGTACAGCGGGAACGGATGGTGTGTATCTTGTCATATGTACCCTCTCTCGATAGCTTATTGGGGTCCTCGGTATCAGTATAATCTATCGTCACAGTGAGAAGTAGACGTCCCAGGGACGCGCAATGTGGCCAGCAGGGGACGGAGCGCCGGCTTATTGACAGCTGTGGAGATACGTGAGGCCGCAAGGCGGCTGCCGACGCAGTCAGACGCGAGTTAATGGTCTATCTGCGCGCGGTGAACGTAGTCATGAGTCTAAAATCCGAGTATCATATGCCCCGCGAAGCACTCGCTACTTCAATCAACGTAAATGTGCGGATTCCAGTACGAGGAGCTGTTACTATGACGTACTCACGATATGTATCGATTACACCGCTGCCTAATCCAACACCTACTCGCACAACAGCCGGATATCGAAGACTCTGCACCTATCACCGCCGCCGATGGAGCCCAGGCTAGGCTGGGAGGAGCGCAAACCGCATAATTATGTACTCGCTTCCTTCTTCTTTTTCCTCTTCTTTCCTTCCGATCCCGTGCGGTCAGCGCCGGTTGTATCTTGATCTCTTTCGCGTTTTCGGCCCTCAGTAGGAGCCCTGCGCGCCGTGCGGATAGGCTCATCTACACCTTCGGGCTTGATGAAGCCCTCTTCTCGCTTGACTGCAAGAATCGACGTCTGCATCGATGCCGGTGGACGCACAGAGACGTCCTCGCGAATGAGCATCTGTGCCGTCTTCGTGCGTGTTTTCTTTCCGTCCCTTTGAGTCGAGATGGGGGCTTTGAAGCCGGATATCGAAGTGGGACGTTTGTCGAATTTGGATCGAGGCTTCTCCTCGGGAGCATCTGCTACTACGTTCTCCTCTTCTTCTTGAGGCTTTTCCTGAGGAGAAACCGGGAATGTCGGCCTGTCATCCGCGATATCAAGTTCTTTGTAGATTTACCTCTTGCACTATCTCTTCTCCCCGTGCGTTGAACGTTCGACGACCTCTCAGCTTAGGCATGTCTTGTTGCGGCGAATTAGATGAGGACGCCTCCGCCGCGTCCGAGTCAAATATGAAGGGCACGTATGACGGCTCATATACTACATCATCGTTGCTAGGAAATGTTCGATCAGCTCTGCCCGAACGCGTTTAGGATGTGTGTTATACCACACACCTTGAGCTAGAGGCCTGTCCGATCCCCCAGGCATCCCTGATTTCCTGAGAAACTGACCATTCCGCATCGTCCTTTATCTTCGCTTGTTCGAGCTCGACCTGGGCTTGCAGCTTTGCCCGGTGGGCGTTCTGCATGAATCGCAGACTCAATGTGCCATTACTGAGCGTTTTGGACGTCATGGGGGTATTGTGGATGGATCCAAGAACAGATACTACTACAGAGCAAGCACTTCAGAGGCCTTGTTGAGATCGTTCAGAGTAGCAATGAGACCTAATACGACCCAAGAAGACGCAAGAAACCGGAGACAAGCGGGAGCAGCTGGTGGTTGAGAACGAAGACACGAGCCCGATCTTTTCGGACCTCGATCCACGTGGGATCTTCCCAAATCTAGCAATGTTCGCTACTGAACGCTCTCTCACGGCTAGCATCCCAAGTGGCAGGCAGCCAAAAAAATTGACCTGCAGGGCCTGCACAGACCCAGATGCAGACGGAAAATCTCAAAAAGCGTTCTCCAACTACTCCCGCCGGGACTCGAACCCGGAACCTTCAGATCTTAGCCGTCACGGTAGGAATCTGATATCATAGCCATTAGACGACGAGAGCTTGCACAAACGCCCGTCTCAGTCGTATATAGATACACAATTAACGCGATCGCTAGGTTGGCGACTTGGGGACCTCTCCGCGCAATCAATATTCTCATGTTGGCCTTCATACCATCTATCTCGCGAGCGTCACTGTGTACAAGCATGCGCACCAGCGATGCACATTGAGTTGACCTCAGTGCAGTGCCAGATGATAGCGCTCCTTCATTCTACAGCGCACGATGCTCGCGCAGAGACGACGCAGAAGCTCTGTCCACCGACGTGCTTGATCCTGCAAATGGGCGCCATTCCAGCCCTAGTGTTAGTAGGAGATGTGTCAGTGTTCTCCGTCATTCGAAGTTCGGGTCGGCCAGGCTTAGCTACGTTCTGCGTCGAAGCGCGTGTTCCTTTCCTCACGAGGCTACGAGAGGGATGATGGGCTCAAAAAGACGTTTCACGCAGATCGACGTGATGCGCATAGTTCGCCCTAACTTCTTCGATATATGGCCTGCACTCAACGCGCGAGGGGAGAAAATATGCGCATGAAGGGGCCGCCTATTTCTGCGCGGTTTAATACAGACATTTTGAAGGTTCTTAGAATGCGACGTGCCACTTTCCTCGAATCAGAGCAGAAGCAGACGGCGCATTCAAGTGCGAAGTAGGTGAGTATCACTTCGATTGTCGTCTCCCACCTACGCGATCGGATAACGTGTCTGATCTCTTTCTGACGCGCCAAGCAAACTGAATCGCTTGCGCGGACTTGTGCGATGTGAGTAGACCAGAATTCTTTACGATAGACGCACCATGCGAGTGGGGATATGGGGTCCTTGCAAGACGCACGAGCGCATCGGACCATCGAAGTAGATGAAGCTGTTGTAACCGTGCGATGAAAGAGCTCATCAGCTTTCACGAACGCACGCTGCGAGAGGGCAGAAGACGAACGTGTTCGGTGTAATCTCCTACGATGCGACGCGCGCGCCGCCGGGCCCTTCCCCGAAGGGCGCGGGGGGGGGGGTCGTGTGCCCTACGCGTAGGTGTACGCGTGGCGCGCGCGTCGCGAACGCCGTAGCGGGAGGCCCATACCAGTACTTTGGGACGATCAGGTTGGGACCTCTCGCGCGGGCGGTGTGGACGACTAGGGGCGGTACCTGTAAGGCGGGAGTCGCGCGTCAGAATGCATGGAGCGCGTGGATGAGGCGGAGAAGCGATACGTACGGGTTTCGCGCCGGGGTATGCGTCCACGAGGAGGTCCGGCGGGATCTGAGAGAATGGGAGGGCGTGTCAGCAGGGCGCGATGCGAGTCGAGACGGAGCATCTGAACGGTACGCACCAATTGACTTGCACCGGACCACAGGAGGAGTGCGAAGGATGAGAGCGAAGAGCGCAGTTGGCTTCCCCGCCGCAAGGGCGGGTACTAGTCCCGGGGGCCACGAAGAGGCCTGCACTATCCCCGGGGAACTACACTACGAATTGCAAGAGTGATCTCGCAGATGGTGAAGATAGAAAGAGTGTGGGCGGTGCATAGATGATGCACAAATGAAGGTAAAAAGAAAATGGAAGCGTACCTGGCGAAGCGGTGGGCCGCAGCGCGCGCCGTTATACTCTCCGGGGTGCCTCTTGGCGAGCAGACAGCGTGAGCTCTCCGGGCCCCTTACTCGTCGAGAGTCCGGTATGCGTCATACAGCTACCCACTCCCGCTCGCCGACGGAGGTGCCGGGCTTACTTTCTTGCACACTGGACGCTCTTACCCAGCCCCTCCGCCTCTCATGTCTTGCCGTGTCATGTTTGCGTGCTTGCGTTGTTTGCGTGATGTTTGTTTGCGTGGGGACGGCCGGAGCCGCTGTGCCAGCCTTCACCCGTGAGGAATCCAGCCAGCCGTGGGCAGTAGGGTGGCGACCGCGCGTCCGAGCGCGGCCATATGCCAGAGACGGCGGCCCAACAACTCGAGTCCGACCCCCGCGCGATGCGCGGGACTACTGTCGGCTCGGCCAGAAGGTTACCCCCGTCCCAATTCAGGCGCTGCTTTACCCGTCGCCCTCCGAGTGGAGCGCGACGGGCCTTCCGACAGCCACAAGGGGCCCGCACCTAGGGTCGAGACGCGAGCACGCCCAGTGCTGCTCGGCTCGAAAACCTCCGTCGGAAACTCGGCGGCCGTCGACGTCCCCGAACGGGGGCGTCGCTGGTAGACCGCCGCGATGCCGCGCCGTGAGGCTTGGCAAGAGGGGTGCCGCGAGGGCATCGAGCTTGGGGGTTGGGTTGCGGCCTGAGAGTGACGTGATGAGTTCACAATCCTGCAAGCGACGGGAGGTTGGGCGGAGGACTCACCAATGCAGGCCGCGAGTGGCGCCGCGATGCGGGCGTGGGTGCCCTCGGAATGGTATGGTTTTGGCGACGGTGGCATTGCCGTCGCGTTGTAATGGTAGAGGTACCTGTCAAAGCATAGCGATCAAGTGAATCATGTAGTGTAGAATAAAGAAACTACGGATGCGTGTCAGGCGATGTTGTGGCGCGAAGGAGGGCGAACTCACATTGCTATCGCATGTTGCGGCGACGTGCTGATTAGGTCGCATGGGGCGACAGAATGGTGATGATGCATATGACGCTGATGCTTGGCAAGAACCTAGAAGAGAAGAGAAAGAGAGGATCGTCGCAAAGCGACGAGGTTAGAGAGAGAAACGGGTCATCTGTCGAGACGCGATGAGCTACAGCCTGTCGTCTCTCGCCAGTACCCAACTCACTTTGGGTGTACCATGCCATACAAGCGCATGAGCGCGTAGGCAATGGATTTCATGGCGTCGCCGTCTGCCAGTGACACACGAGAGCGCGACGTGAGACTTGTGGCGTCCGACGATGAACTCGAGCGCATACCATAGAGACGACGAGCCGTGCTGCCGCGCTCGCACTATTCGCAGAGCGCGGCCGCTCGAACGGAAACTCGAGCACAGAGGAGAAGGGTGAGAGTGGTCTGGAGGAAAGACGAGACGGACGACGAGGGGGTTCTTATACGCGTCTGGTGGCTGACCTCTGGCGTTGGCCGAGTCAGCTGCATGCGCTTGGCTGCGACTGTTCGGACGAGCGAGAACAAGGGTCTGTTTGGATATGGATGAAGGATGGCCGTGGCGAGCGTCATGTGGGGGGAGGCTGTTGTTGGTGTACTCGGCTGAGTTGGAATTGGGCGTATCGATGGGCGCCCGAGCAGGTACGCCAGCACCCTCTCAGGCTTCTGCTCCGTTCGAACAAAAAGCACGGAGGAGGCGAGGCGTACGAGGACAGCTTCCAAGGACGTACTATCCCGCGATTGTGCAGACGATTATCAGAGAAGCAACGGATCATATGGAGACTTTACGCGGTGGCGGCGAGTCGCGAACTTGCAGCCTCTTGCAGCTCAGGAGATGCGGATATTGAGTATGTGCGCCTTTCACAGTTCATATGGGTGGGCCCAGGAGTTGTGAGGCGGATCGGCATTCCCTCCTGTGGATGGTAGGAGGGGTTGAGCCTGGAGGCAATTCAACTGCCACGCGGTAGCCTCCTCGGTTACGTATTTGGCAGTATTTGGTAGTGTGGGACAGTGGGAGTTGCCCCTCTTCGCCTTCCAATCTCGAACGCCTCAGCCCTTGCTCCTGTCCGCATGCCTGATGGAGGAACAACTTCTTCCAGATAACCGCGTAGATAGAAGGTCCGTGTCCCAACCCCGCCGTCTAAGCGGGTGAGCACGCCATTCAGTCTTCAGAAACCCCGGAGAATTGTGGTTCGACTTACCATGGGACTTGTTGCGAAGGCTCGTCTGCCTGTCCGTCCTCCTTGTGCTCCTGCTCCTACGCGATGATAACGCGATACGGCACAATGGGCTATGTAGCCCGATGCTCGGGACAGCTGCAAACCTGCGGCGAACTAGCACCGACGTCTCGTCTCCGCACCTACCCTCACCATTACGAGACTGTCGAGCAAGCCTGATCGTTCGCTCGTTTCTGCTGCTCCATCAGCATTTAATGGCAGGAGACTCAGAGGAATCAGGACATGTGTCCCGGCATTCTGACATTTGGAGGCTGACGTACTAGGCTCAATGTTATGAGCAGCTCGGCAAACTCGAGCCAACAAACAAAAGACCCACCTTAATGCTGGAACCGAGCAACTGGCTCAACACCCAACAAACTCCTGAGAAAGAGGCGGTCGACAATCAACATACCACCCGAGACGTTAGTGGGTACCCCGACCAATGCGGAATTGTGTCGATAAACAGCCGCCGCAAGGATTGCTTCCATACGACGACTACGGCTGGCAATGTTTTGCACCTCCACATTCTGTTACGAGTGCTCCCATTCAACACCGGACTTAAGCGGCGCAGTCGAGCTCTCCATCTTGAAGAGGCTACTCTGAGATCCTCGTGCGCAAGTGTTACTCATGTTAGCTTGAGTATGCGTATATGCACGTGAACACGTCCCTGTGCTACTGCATGCACCGACGCCACGACCGGCCGGTCGCTGTCGACCTGGCTATGGGGAAGTCAACACTTGGTTGGCAAGTGCGAAGTACTAGGACGCCGCTCACCTTGAGTGACGACACCTGGACGATCGAGCACACTGTGATGCAAGTAACGCACGACTGGAGCGGAATCTCGTCCAGAGAGAGCATGTCAAGTCAGTTGTGTTCTGTATCGCGTTATTCCGTACAACCGCATCCGCATTCACAATACACCCTACTCCTATCAGCATATACCTACGTACGTCCCCAACACATCACAAATATGCGCCTCGCCACCGCACTGATGACTTCACTCAAGCGCGCCTCACACGAGCGGCCGCGAACGGTAGAGCAGGACGTACGCTGACGCGTCCTGACCACCGCCCGACAGCGTCTCCAACTTCTCCGCGGGGAATATGGACACCTTGTCGTCGTCGAACTTGTACCAGTCCTCGTCGTCTTCGTCTGGCGTAGGGCCCGCGACCGCACCGGGCGCGGTCGGCGACGAATGCAGCGCGCGCTTCTTTACGAACCCAATGTAGTGCCCCGCGTCGGCCTCGG